CACATGTTGCAGCGATACTCACACACACACACACACACACACACACACACAGCTCTCTCTCGCCAGGGGTCACTGGAGCCGAGGTTCAGCCTACACTGCTAGACCGCCACAACACCTTTTTTCTCTCCATCCCTTTCTCTCCCTCTCTCTCTCTCTCTCGCTTTTTTCTCTCTGGGTGACAGTGGTGGAGGTGGTGATGGGCTTCTCTCTCTTCCCGCGCACAACAGAGCCTTTTTTATCTCCCTTCAGAGAATCCCACTGCAGCAGGGAATTGTGCGCGTGTGTGTGTGTGCACGTGCATTTAAAAGGTTTACGATGCCTGAGTACCCCTGTCCTCCTCGAGCTCAGAGAAACCCCCCACCTTCTTCCTCCAGGAAGCTTCTTCAGAGCATCTGAGTGTAACGGCAAAACAGTCGTGGTCTTTGTAGAAGCTTAGAAGAGAGAGCGAGATAGAGGGAAGCAGGGAGAAAGAGAGAGAGGGGGGGAATATCAATTCTCCTCTCATGTAAAGATTCTACACTGGTTTGGTCACTACAGAAGCGACAGACATAAAGTATCGACTGGAGATACAGAGCAGCTTCCCCCAAACTCTGCAGTACAGCAATGATACTGTTTATGAAATATTAATCCGTTCTCTCGCCATCCACACATCAGAGGTATTTCTATGGTAGGTAGCCATCATTGGTTGAGTTTTGAAAACATACATCTAGAACGGTTGGTTGCATCAGATCATTGAGAGAATCGGCACTAAATCTATCATCCCATATTAACAGGCCGCTGTTTTTGTGTAATGTTTGTGCAGGCTAGAATGAAGTTAGTCACGCGCAACCACAAAATCACAGTCTGTTTTACTTGACTGCAAGCAGAATATTCAAATCAAAAGTGGGCATTTCAGACCTGAATACTTGTTTACAGTCGATGTGAATGACTTAATTCCACTTGGCCGAGGTGAGGTCAGTCAAAATAAATAAATAGATAAATAAGTATTTAAAGTACAGTAACTTTTAAGGAATAATTGATGATGGCCGTTGAATTAGAAAATAATGCAGACCTGTGGTGATGATGCAGCCACGATGTGAAGCACTGGGTGTGCAATATTTTCTAATAATTCAAGGGACCGGAGTACATTTTTTCACTTACACCACAGTTACCACACCTCAAGACATTGTTCAGATGTTGCTTACGCATCTCATCCCACACCTCCTTTGTTAATTCCAAAACGCCATTTTAGAGTTAGTAATGAATGCTTGAGCCATTGATAATGCAGACTAATGCAGTTATTTTGCAGAGAGTGAGAGAGAGAGAGATAAAGGTGTGTGAATAACCTGAGTCTGTGCGTCTATCAACAGTGTTCGGCAGCAGCGTCAGGCCCTTTTTATATCTGGTATTAAGAGCGAAGTAATAGCGAAACTGTAAGTTCATTGGCTTCAAGAACAGTACCGTTATTACTTCGCTAGTGAGGAATGTCATGTAGCTTTTAAGTTGCTAAACTATTTTACCGATAAAATCGTCAGAGCAGCGCTGATAACACGTTTCTGTGTGGGCAGGATATCACTAGTTTCTCACACTGCGTAGGTGTGATCTTGGTCCACTCTTCTTCCAGTCTCTTCCAAAGTTTGGTAACTGTAGTGGGTTTCTTAGCCATAACTTTGTCGCCAAGGATTTTCCAGAGATTTTCAATTGGGTTTAGATCAGGACTCTGGGCCAGCCATTTCATTATTTCAATGTTCTTAGCTTTAAGGAACTGCTTTACCCATTTTGCAGTGTGACGGGGACATTGTCTTGCATGAAAATTGCAGGCTGATTGGGAGATGCTTGCAGGGAAGGAAACGCATGTTGCTGAAGGAGGTTCTGATAAACATTTGCATTCACTCTGCCTTGTAGCTGTATAAGAGGCCCAACTCCTGCTGCACAAAACATCCCCCGAACAAAATATTTCCCATCTGACCCAAATAAATTAAACTTGCTCTCATCACTAAAGTTAACTTTGGACCAGTTCTCCCCTCTCCACACAACATGCTCCTCAGCATAGTTTAGTCTAGCCTTTTGATTCTTTCTGCTGATGAGAGGCTTGGTCACCGCAGAGTGCGTTTTCAGTCTGACTTCTCTTAAATGTGCTGAGACAGATCCAGACCCTGTTCAGCACTGAACTGCCGAGCAATTCCAGCTGCAGTGTTGAACCGATTGCCAATTGAGATTCTCTGCATTATCCTGTCTTCTCGTGCATTTGTCTTATGTGGATGACCAGCTTCTTGGGGGGACTTGAATGAATTAGTATCATTGTAAACCTGCAATTTTTGAGAAATTACAGATTTGGAATGGCCTGCTTCTCTTGCAAAAGCTGAAAGGTTCATCCCTTTGGCCTTCATCTGGACACCTCCTGTCGCAGGGTTTCAGTCACTTTAGAGCGGCCCACCATCTTGCAATCTCAGTGAAAATTAGAAGGAATGTTGCCAGTTAAATATGGCTTGTCATATAATTAAGGAAATAAGCACCAGGTGCCAGATTAACACCAACAACTTGGAGGTATCTGTAAGTGTTCTCTAATTTTGATCAGTTCTTTTTCAAATATCTCATTTAAAGTTTTTCATACTGTGCATCAAAATACAATTAATTTATGAAATATGCTTTAAAAACTGGCCTTCTACTCCTGTTAGGATAACTTCAAATAGGACTAAGAACTGACCTTGAAATTTAGGAAATTATAGGTTGTTCTCTAATTTTGATTTATATAACTATTATACTTTTTCAGGACGTTTTGATGAATAGAAATTTCAAAAGAACACCATTTATTTGAAATAGACATTTTTGAAACAACATAAAAAGTCTTTGTAAAAAGTTGATATTATTTTGTTTTTTTGCTCAGAACTACATTTATTTAACATCATAATAACGGAGTATGTTTATGGTTATATCTGAACAGAATGTAAAATTGTGTTGAATTGGAAGACAAAGTATAAAAAAGAAAGTAAATAGGGTAAAATTTGAATGTATGTTGACTTATGTGTATAAAAGCTATATATAAGCTTTTAAAATTGGAATTATAATTATAGAAAATAACATCATACTAACTGAATATGGTTATGGTCATATACATTATTTTTTATATTATTTAATCATTTTTATGTAATAAAATGTACATATATATATATATATATATATATATATATATATACAGTATATGAGAAAGTATTCCAAATATATATTGACCACCCATTGACCACCACTTCTAAAGCACATGTGCAAACCACGAAGCCACAGCTCCAACAGAAGGAAAATCACCTGCAAACCAACTAAATTTTATGAGATTGAGTGACCCATCCTCTTCAGATCATCTTTACTTTCCCTCCATCTCCCTATGTCCCTTTATCCTATCTTTTCCTCCGTATCTGTGCTCCCTCTATTTCCATGCACCTCTATGTCTCTCTTTTTCCACCCCTGATCCTTCAGAGGAAGCGCGGATTGGAGGGAGATAAGGGAGAGAGGTCAGTAACTCAGCTGCATGTGCTCATTTGAGACGAGAGGGTCAGCATGACGGCCCGGCACTGCCGTCTGTCTCGACCGGTCGGACGCACAGATGATAACTATCCCAGCTGCTGGAATGATTGACTGTCATATATAATATGGAAATACATTTTGAAGATCTATCTATCTATCTATCTATCTATCTATCTATCTATCCATCCATCCATCCATCCATCTAGACATTGGAGGGTCTGGAAAAGCATTAGCATTCAGTTCTCAAAACCAGTTAAAACCAGTTGTTTTATTTAAAACAATATGACACCGTTATTTACAACCAGACGAAAAATTATCTATACAAACATGACACAATAACTTTGGTCATTCTCCCCTTAAGGAAACAAAGTTTATATAAAAAAAAAACAAAAACAAAAACAAAAATTGTGTAAAGTGAGTAGTACAAGTCTTTGAGTCCTTTGGAGACCATATTCCTCTGTAAACAGTGTGAAACCTGAAGAGTGATGGCTCGAGCTGGGTCATAAGAAGTGTTTGATTTCCGTACAACATCCGTCTCCAGCTGTGTCCACACCTGGATCTGCTCTTACGCTCAGGTATGCGCAGGTCTTTCTAGTGTTTTTAGTTCATTTTGCAGATTTTTGGATACACAAGGATATTTTTCAGGTGTGTAGCAGTGTTGTGTTTATCTGACAGAGGGGGAAGCCAGTAGGTGAGTGGGCTTGCAGGGGATCGGTGGTTTGACACATGGGGCATTAGTGGTGTTGAAGTGCTTCCTGAGCTGAGCCACACGACTGCCGTTCGTCAGACCGCTATCCTTATTTTTCACCAATCCTTCAGAGAAAAAGAGAAGAAAGACTGTGTCTTTAGACATGGAAACAAAACAAGATAAATGTTGATGTCTTTCCAAAAAAGGATACTTGAAGACTCTAAAAGGACACTAAAGAACCAAATGATATAAGGAGTCCATACAATTGATACATTTATGCATACCAAAGTACACATGAAAAAAAAAATACAAAATACAATTTTCATAATTCACAGTGTATAGTATGTGTACAGTAAAACAGCAAAGAGCTTGTTTACATTTTAGACAAGTCAAGTTGCCATACTGAACAGGACCACATACTGCGGTCAGGCCAGCCATGAGATGGCAAAAAAACATAAACCAACCGCCTTGACCTGACTGCATATACCTATTACAGTACATGGATCCATTCAATATGACTAAACACAGCAACATACACAAGACAAATCAAAAAATTATCCAGAATGTGTGTGGAAACAACATGAATGTACTTAAATGTGTCAGACATGCGCTCATACATGGTTTTTGTGCTTCAGTAAATAAGACTCACACTTCTTTACTACTAGTGAGATGCTGGTTTGCTTTATCCAGCCGAGAAGCATATTTCATCTAGCCATATGGTGGGATGTTTTCAATCTGTATTTCACACAGTGCCATGCGTGAGGCAGGGTCGTGTCTACGTGGTGGCCAGGGGTGGCACCGGCCACCCCTGAAATTTGGCTGGCCACCCCAGGTGCCCCCCCTACCAGATGTCTTGCCATAGGCTTGTTTTTAGTACATTTTTATTTTTTCTATAGTGTGATCTTAATGATAATGTCGAGAGCGCATAATGTTACGCGATCCATGTGCAATCTCTCCACTCCCAAGCGGATTTCCTTCACTCACACAAAACTGGACGTGTGCTTTTAATGCTTTTAACATCGTTCCGCAAATACTGCTCTCTCTGCCATCTCTGATGCAATCAGCCTGGTTTTCTTTACATTCGCGCTGTTTTGGACTGATTGTTTGAATGCATTCACTTACTGGATCATTGGAATGTAAACTTTCCCGGAGTTTATGGGTTTAAAATGATCTGATTGCAATCAGAGAAGCGAAATCGGGTAAAAGGTTTAGAATAGAAAAAGTGCTTCAGTAATTTTGCGTTAATTGTGTTAAATTATTTTAACCCGTTAAGGATTTTTGAAAAGGAGAGTGACAGCAGGCAGAAGAGAAAAAAGTGAAAGGGAAGAAAGTAAAGGACGAAGAGAGTACAAAAAATCACGTGAGAGTGAGGTAGAGGGTAAAGGCTATGGGAGTGATGACTCAATTTGAATGTGTTAAACAGGGTTAGACAGGTGGTCAGGGAAAAGGTGAAGGGGTGAATGAGGTAAAAGGGGGAATGGGATGAGACGGGGAGGACGCTTGTGGGGATCGTGGGTGACTTCAGAGACAGATGCTGTGGAGAGTGAGACTCAGAGGAGAGGCCAGTGGGTGGAGAACTATATTTTTAGACTCTCCCTGAGGGGTCTAAGCCTGGAGTTCTGCCCCCTTCACACTTTTCCGGTGAGACCGACTCTCTGCCATCACTTTTTTCCTTCCGCACTGATGCGGGGGTCTTTACTATGTCCTCTACCTGCAGTTTTTCCCCCTTGTATTCATGTGACGCAACCTCTATATCTGAGTTGCAAGCATCGGCATGGCAACACAAGATCGTTCACATAATAATCACTAAAAATGTCCAAACAGGTGCAATGTGGCAAAGTCATCAGCAATAACACACTCTTCCAAATAATCTAAAGAAATTCAAAACAATCTATTCAGTTCCGACAATGCAATGCAAGACATTTTGGGGACATTGACACTCATGTTTAAAAGTTTAAGTTTAAAACAATAATTTGTCTTTTCAAAATGTAATATGAACTGTAATATAAATATATGTAAATATGTCAATTATAAATGTAATATAAATTTTAAGCAATTTATATCCTCTATTCCAATCTGAAACAGGACATGTTAAAATTTTGTATATAGGAAATCCCAGAATACATTGACAAGCTTAATGAATAATGAAATGAACATGAAAAAAAAAATCCATTCAAAAAGCAAAAAGGATGGACAAATATGAATACATATATAGTTTTATAAAGGGCTAAACAAGAAATATTATATCAAATCTGAATATAGCTTGTTAGCCTGAATATATAGATACATATCTTGATATATAAATGTTTTTGTGTTTCTTATTTTATTATATACAGTATATTCAGACTTATAACTATATATTCAGATTTACTTCTATACATATAGCTATTCATGATTTATATTCATATACTCAGTTTTGTATATATACATTTAGAATTATATCTATATTCCAATTTACATATATATATATATTCACACTTATAGGCCTAACAATATATTCAGATATAATTCTTTGGACCTTCATCATATACACACACACACACACACACACACACACACACACACATATATATATGTCTCTCAC